GGGCCCAAGTGAACTTGAACGAGGTCACTCGAAGTCACAAGATTGTGCCAAACGACAACTATTAGTTCTCGTTTCAGCGTAAGCAACCTGGACAGTTGCTGGCCTACGGTTGTTGAGACAATATTTTGTACTGCCAGTTGTCACTTTTTAGCATTTTTATGCAATGTTCTGCTATTAATCAACTATTCGCATCTCCCGGCTAAAGTAGGGTTTGACCTCGCAACATGGATAGACGCACATTGTCCGAAATCGTCTGTCCAAGAAGTCGCAACCTATTCGCTTCTCAGAGGTTTCGAAGGCATCGTCAATCAGTTTTGACCGTCTTGGCACAAAACTACAACTCCCCAAATATATAACTTAAATGTCCATCTATTTCTTGACCAACTTTCTGCCGAATGGTTTTGGTATCACTTCTCCTTTTGTTCTGATATATCAACTCTATTTATAGCTGCCTATCCATTACAACTTTTTACCTCGTTTAAAATAAGCTGCTATATAAGACACATTTTGATTTTGATATATATTTCCATCGAATTGCTGTTTTCCAGTAAATCCGATATGCTACTGACTTTGTCGTTAGTAGAGTCGGACAATGTTCGACTTGCTTTTGCATCACTTCGATAAGAAATCCGCTTGGCGATGATTTTTGCATTAAATTTTACCTATTCGTGCACCTCAAAGTTGTCGTTATCATTCTAACTTCCCGACACTATAATGCTGTTGCAATGTCCTGAAAGTTGTGCTTGCTGCATGTTTTGAATGCCTGCGTAGAGGTTGATGTGGGAATGATGCAAATTCACTGCAACTCTCAGGCCTTTCTTTCGATTCATTGTAAGTCCGTGGCTCTCAGAGTCATGACGACCTCAAAACTAAGGTCTTCCAGCGTAAACAATGCTAGACTGTTGATTAAATGCCGTATAGCTCAAAAAATGGAATATTTTACATTTGACCTAGTTACTGGGACAAATGGAACCCAGCCGAATAAGGCTATATTCTAAGGTATGAAGACCAAGATGGTGTGGCCTTTTGTGTGGTCTCAGTCTCCTTTCGTTGTATAGAGGCTGTTTGACCTTGTTTTCACAACATGGTCATGTTGGTAGGAAGACTTATAGGAACGCATCTAGTTCGGGGTCCATTGTCTGCATGATCATTTCCAAAGTATGGGAATGTTCCACTTCCACGGTTCAACTTTAGAAATGATCATGTTGGGAATGTTCCACGTCTACGGTTCAACTTTGGAAATGAT